GAGTGGTGTGTTAAGCTGCGCTGTTGAACGGTGCCTGTCACTTGCACGGCATGCTTGTTAAATCGTTAGAATGCCCGTTGTAATTTATTCAACGGGTACGTCGATACATGTTACCGTAATCGTTCAACTAATTGGGCGCGAGCTTCGGTAACCCGCGAGTTCTCGTTACCTTTCATGGAATTATTATGAATAGAAAATAATAATTATCCCTCGCAAGAGTTTTGTTACCCCTTTAATACCGAGCTTTCATACACGTCGATAATTTAATTATCTCCCAGAGCCCTCGGGAGCGATTGCCACACTTGAAACTCGACTGAAACTCGGCTGAAACTTTGACATTGCATATCGACGTCAGCCATTTTCACGCAAACTTATCAGCGTCCGTTGTCATCGAGCATAGTTAAAATTTCAGACGCGTCCTGCATTAATCAGTGGTTTCATCGTAAGTACTTTCGACAACACTTAGCAGCCAGATACCGACTACCCCCGTAGCGCAACCGTTTAAAATGCTGGGTAAACACGGACCGAAACGAGTCGACGGATAAAAATCCTGCGGGTTTCCGAGCATTTCCAAGGAAAATAAGAATCCCCATGTTACCGAAGCTCGGTTAATCCCGCGGTGGCTTTTACGAGGAGGTTGTAACCCCGTTCGTTCGTCGTTCGTCGTTCGTCGTTCGTCGTTCGTCGCGCGCTGCTAAATCGCGCGAACGAAAAACGTGGATTCATGGGAACGACGTCGTTACCGGGAGCTGCGTCCTTATTCGGTTTACCTAGGAGAAACCGTGATGCGCACCCTATCCCGTAGTTTCATGGTATTTAGACGGGGTTTCGGGTGCTCGTGGAGGTACACGGTGTTCGCCAAGATGTACGTTGCGCTAATGCGACGCCTGTCGGGGCGTCGATACTCGACCGTTAGTTGTTTTTTCGTGTGTCCGCCTGTATCACGCACGCAACGGATCGGCGTTCGGCTTTTCGGACGTGAGACGTGCGACTATCAACGATCACGTGTAAGTGCAACGAAAACCGTGGCTTTCTTTCGGTCTGGAAAAAGAAAACACCCGTCAACCTTCGCCGCCACTACCACCGCGACTAGTTTTAACACTTCGAGTGCCAAGCGTACGATTTCGGAAACGGACACGCGTGTCCGCTTGCCCAACTGCTACACAAGGCAAACACATCGTAGGAGAAGATGATAGCTTGTGCGAGGCGAAAGTGGAAGCTTCGTGATAAGCCCAGGCAGACTGTTGTACGGTTTTTTATTACAAGATTACAATGTTCTAATTACAACGTAGCGATTTCTCAATCTTCCGGAGAACACGATTATGTTCCGAAAATAAGCTTTCATGGTTGCACCGACCGTACGCGTAAGAAAAAATAGGAAAATGGTATTCGAGCGAACGAGGCCCATTTCTAGGATACACAGCACTCAAAGTGTTAAGGCCACCGATCAAACGAGGGCGCCGCTGGAACTGATTCAGCATACTTTCTGCGGTGCCGCGCTAAGCTGGACTTCCGTGCGAGCGACCACCTCGTTTCCGAAACGAAACCATCCGCCAGAAGCATCCTGTCCGCGCGCAACCCACGCGTAATCCTCCGGAATTCAGCTGCCGCTTTTGCGCTTCAATCTCTGGCCCGCGTAAACATCCGCGCGAGTCGGGGGAGAAAAGCACGACCCCAGAGGAGTTTGCTAGTCAGTTGCCGGCAACTATTTCACTGACCGATAGACGCAGCCACTTTCCGATTGGAAAACTTCGGTGGTCGCTCGAACGATCGGTTTCCCGCGTGGCCGGGCTTGTTACAGCGCGCGAACGCGAGCTAGCGGTTCTAACGGTCCCCGTAAGCGGCGAACAAACATTCGCGCGATAAAGATGATTCGCGTATCGAGCCCTGCCCGGGGTTACTCGGAATCGATCGTTGCGAAATCGCCGATTCCTCGAATTCGTTGGCCCGCGCTCGTAAAACGGGGGCGACGTGTAAACTCTTTTTACGGTGTGCGCGCGGACCACGGCGGATTTTACGGCCGCGCGATCCTGACCGCTCCCGCTCCGAAAACCGTAACGTAAATCCCGAATATGTCTCGCTCGTAACTTTCCCGACACGACCCAGCGCGGCGGGGTCGCGGAAGGCGGTCGAACGCCACACCGGATTGACCGACCCAGGCGAATATCGTTGATCGCCGAACGACCCGTGACATTCGAGCCGCTTCAACCTGTTGACCGGAGGATTTTTCAGCCGCGCGATAAAACGCGGATAAGTCGGATTCGCGTCGATCCAGGCCGCTGTGAAACGCGACGCGGTTAGCGACGCGGTTAGCGACGCGGTTAGCGACGGTGTAAACGGGACGCGTCGAATTCTCGTGTTTCTCGTTTTGCAAACCGACGCGCGGCGAGTCGGTACCCGTAGCCCGATCGAGTGGAACGTCTTTCGAGTTCGCTAATTGTGAGCGACGGGAGCGGAAACGCGCGCCACGGCCGGCGGATGCGATTCACGATTCGCTGCGTGCAGAGTGTACCGCCTCACCGTACCGTACATACGTATCCAAATCAATCTGAAATTCAAAACAGTGATTCTTCGGCTACAGCTGCTGCTTCTGATATTTATGTTAAACAGAGAGGGAGGGAGAGAGCCGGGGGGCGACAGAGAAAGAGTGTAAGCGAGAAGAAAATCGAGGCGAGAGAAGGGAAGAAGACCGAATAAATTCAAGTAAAATAAATAAAATAACAACTAAGAACACATACAGAGATGCGCCGCGCGCATGCACGCGTGTTTCGGTCAACACATTGTGTACCTGACGCTGGTGGTTCTGGTCTGACTGAGGCTGGGGTGCCTCTTCACCGGCGCTCGGTAGCCTCTTTTCGGGCAGCAGATCCACCAACCGCCGCAGGCTGCCGCCAAGAAGCTTTCTCGGAAGTGCTTCGACATAAACCCGTAAACGATCGGGTTTATGCAGCTGCGGGACAGAACAGAGATTCGGAAGTCAGCTGGAATGTCGGGGCGCGATTAATCTGGCCGAGTGAGCGTTTCACTTTCCGCGAACCGTTCCTCTCTTCGACCGTCTTCGGTCGAAACGGCGATTCTCGCGAACCGATAAACGATTCTCTTTTATTGTCTCTATTGCTTCTCATTTTATTCACAGCGAATCGACGGATCATCGAACAGGAAATGAATAACGATGGCTCGCCCGACGAATTGTCAACGAGTAATCGTTAATAACGAAATCACCCATTTATCCAAGGAACGTACGTTTAATCGACAAATGGTGATATTATTGGCGCGTCCGTGTACCGTCGACGCTTAAGTAAATATTCGATAGGATGGCAATTTATTAGAGTAAATATAGCCGAGTTAAATCGGCTGCACCATAATCGCCGTACAACCGAGCGTATTCAGTGGCGATCATTATCGTGAGTGGGACACTACGAGCGTTAACATCGCCGGGCTACATCTCAGATGGAAATAGGCGGGACGGGAATCGATATTGAGCGTCTCGGGAGATCGCAAAGCGATGCGAAGGAAATTAATTAAAGGCGTTCGCCGCTGCGCCACCGTCTCCCTGGCAGCTCTAACTTTTCCAGAAGGAAACCGTCTCTGTCCAATCATGCATACCTATTCGCGTTCGTTACACTAGATTCTAATAGTCCAAGTAACGGCGCTCGACAAAGAATCGATCGGAAAGGAACAGAGTCGAAAGCAACAACGATGTGGCACACGACGCGCGAAAATGGGAAACTATGGGACGCGCGAGAAATCGAGGAAAAAAGACTAGAAAATGCGAATCGTATGCATTACGAAGTAAGCGAACACGCGGTGCCACGAGCAGCACAGCCTGTCAATTCCTATGCGCCGTCCGGTCCATTTTCGAATTCGATTATGTCGGGAAAAAAGCATCGAACACATTTCCTTTCCCATTTTCAATTGGATTTCGAATGCAGAACAGTTTCCAGTCCCGCGGCAGATTGTTCCAGCCGATCTAGCTCTGTCTCGCGCGCGCGAGACGCGGAAAGAAAACAGTTTTATTACGCATAAACCGCGAACACTTGCGGAATGAAAAAGAGGGATAAAGAGTCTAATAAAGGACGCAACAAGGGCTCTCTCGGTTTAACGCGCGCCGCTAAAACCATCGAGCGATTCTCGGGGGCGAAGTCGGCGGGTCGGCGTGTACCTGTTAAAATAAGCCATCAGCTGGAAGGCGGTGTTAAGATGTTTGTACGTCCCGGTTTTATTGCGCGGCACGTAGCCGGAAGCGGTGAGTATGTTGTCTACGAGGATCGGCCCCCAGCAAATGGCGAACAGCACCACCACGGCCACCAGCATCTTCACCACCTGCCGAACGCAAATCATTGCCACGTGAGATGCTACCGAAATCTTCGAGCTCCTCTAATTGCGAGGAACTCCGAGTCCGATAGAGTCTTCCTTTGATCCCGTCGTCCAAGGAAACTCGAGCCATCCGGATACCTTAATTACTTCCGAGTACGTCAAACCTGGAAACTTCAGGAGCGTTCTAGGTATCGTTATAGACGCGGGTATGGGGCGAACCTGTCTGGGAGTAATTCGAACATTCGCTCTCAGATTTGGCCGATGTCTCTTCGCCAAAAATTGTTTCAGTAGCAGATCGATTGTTTGAATTGGCGATCCAAGAATTTCATTCAATTTCTCGTTGAAAATATTCTCAAGAATCAAAGGGAGGAGGTGGGTAACAAACACCGTTTAGAACCTCGCGAAAAAATGCTGCTCTTGCGTATTCCAAAGTGGCGCACAAAGTGCACGATAATTACCATCCAAATGAAGGAGGCGGCGATTTGTTTAGGCAAATTGCGGGACGGTATCGGAGACTCTTACCAATTCCAACGAAGCTGGCGAACTTTTCGCACCGGCGGAGCGTTTCCACGCTGTTTCCCGGCTTCCACGTTCTAATAGTTTCTATTCGACCGTGTCAATAATACGACTATTAACGTTCTCCGCTCGCAGAGATGCAATATTGTCTTTCGTTCGAGAGTTGTTTCTATTTGAGATCGTTCCGCCGTATTTCGATTGCAACAGTTTATACTGGACGCTCGATTCTAAATTCGATAAACTTCATACGATAACCGTTATTGTTCCATAGAGTCAAACCGCTGGAATATCTCAACTTTTTATCATCGCCATAGAGATCGATCTGGCTTCTATAATTCGAAACTAACCAGAGAAAAACAGTTTCCACGTATCGCAGCGAAATTGAGTTTCGCTGGAACTCCCGGCGAATATAGGACGTACCTGTTTCATGGTTCGAGATTCCTCCTCCGTTTGTCCGTCTTCTCGATAGGAACGGCGACCGTTCCGCATGCTCTGCCTTTGTGTCATGGGTATCGACTCGGCGTTCAGGTTGTTCGGGTTTAATCTGCAACACGCACGACCCACGGGAATTAGATCTGCGGAATGTCTTTCACAAACCAGTGAGATGACAAAAAATCTCGCGGGAATGAAATGCAAATGAATCGGTGCTGTAAAAAGTATCTCGCGCGAGAATTAGATCCGGTAAAAGTGGCTCGGTCACGAATCGACGAGCAATCTCGTTGCGCTGCGCCGTTTCTCGGTTCCGAAGCGTTATCCGCATCGATTATGTACACGGCGTTCTTTCGCGCTGCCTCGTAACAGCCGCGATGCAGATGTCGCTTGTTCGAGACCGTTTACCGGATCACGCCCGCTTTATCGCGGATCCCGCGAGCCGATAAACCGTCGGAAATAAACGAAGCTCCATTGTAAGCGGAAAGACGCTGCCGCCTAAGCTCACGATAGTATTCACGGGACAGATTTTCCTTGACGCTGCAACTTCCCCGGAAAATTGGATCGTCGCGAGGAGATTCCGTCGTTACGGTCAACCGCTGATCGGCTCCGTTCAACTTTCTAACGAGCTTAACAACGAACGATGGATCCGCGCGGCGAACTACGATCTATAACGAGATGCCGAGCACAAGATCGAAAGTTTTGTTGTTCCGCCTGCTTTGCCGGATTTTCGCGCGCCTTCTTTTACGCCTAATCTTGTTGGCAACGCGACGAGTCTGTCGGGAACATCGCGATACTACTGAAACGAGCGAACGCCACTGGAACACTACCGGAATGTGATTGGTTTCATTTCGCGCGGAATTGGAACATACGAATTTTCTTATTCCAAGAAAGTTGTCCGTTTCGAAGGAAATTTTGCCTTTGAGTGACAATATATCCATCGGTTGGCAGCAGCAAAGTTTCCAGGTGGTAAGGAACTTTGAAAACAGTGTTTCCGATCAATTTCGATCAAAGCAGGATCTATCCCTCTAAAAATAGGTCCGCGAGTTTCGAATGTTTCCACGTCGCGTAATCTTCTTAACCGATTTCGGGCAGAGCTCGCGAAGCTTCCGGAAACTTTGGTTTCAATTGGCCCTCGAGATCCCGGGAGACGGCAGTTTAGCCACTTGCAGCTTTTTACGAGTCCGTCCCGAAAACGGCAACGATCTCGTGTTCGTTGCACGGCAAGAATCCTCGACGGACTGTCGAATTTAAGGTGGCCACGAGTTTCGTTCCCGGCGCACTTCGGGAAGACGCAACGAACGGAACGGAGGAAGGAAGAGCGAGCTTTTCCGCAGCGGAATTTTTACGAGTTCAAATAAATTTTAATATTCACCGTGCGAAGCGTTGCCAGCAGGCCGCGTGATTCGCGTTAACAACGTTAGATGCGGGACCCGGTTTTTTCCGCGGCGCTCAGAAGCAACCGCTCCTAATGGTCGCGTTAATTAAAATGCAAATACCCTGGCCGGGACACCGTTCCGCGGTCTCCATTCTTCTAATACTTTTTCTTTATCACCCCGAACGCGAAACGCTGCGCGACCCGGCTCAAACAATTACTTTGAACAGTTCCGATGCGGTAACGAGGAAGGAACAACGAGACTTTCGTATTTGGTAAGTCGAGAATAACTCGACCGAATTTCATCGAGTTTAATTTAAAATAATCATCCGCTTGGAATATTCCATATCGCTGAATACAAATTACAAGTTCGTAGAAGAGATTCTAAAGATAATCCGTTGAAAATTGCAAATGATTCGATGACATTTTCGATAAGATCGATAAGCCGATATTTGAAAAAGTGTGTCAATTAGAACACTTCTAATTATAAACGTTATTTTTACATCGAAGGTAAAGAATTCGATTCGAGAGAAAAAGACTGGTCAGAGATTCGGAAAGCTGAAAAGGATCGTCCTCGAAACGATTTCTAGAGCAAACTCGAGGGTAGCTTTTCGATCACGGCGAAGGGATGAAACGTCTGGGTTTCATAGAAAAGAGAAATATAATCCGCGGAAAGCAAGAGGTCCGTTTGTTAGCATCGCCGAATATTTCTTCGAGATTTCAACCGGGGGATCTTCGACCTGCCCTCCGACGCCCTCGCGTTACTCCGACGTATTTACCCGGCAACCGATCCTCGAGAAAAACTTTGACAACCGTAACCGATGTACCCGGCTTTTCGAGTTCAGCACGTCCAGCCACTGGAGCAACCCTCTTGAGGTGCGAGTTCGCGAGGCTCGTCGAGATCGATAGGCGGCGCACTCGATAAAAGTTCCAGCGGATAGATGTGTGGGGAGAATCAAGAGGTTCACAGTGAATAATGGAACGGGAGCACGATTGCTCCTCGACCCGATCTAAATGTTTTTCCGAAGCAGCTCTTAGGGGCGCTAACGATAGACCGTTAACTCTGTCTCTCGGTTTATCGCGACTTCTTTGCGGGACATCGTACTAAACGTTAACCAACTAACTGTTTCTCGCACAATTTTCTCCACATTGATTAGTAATAAAACGATGTAAAAAGTATAGCCCGAGAGAAATGTTTTTATATGGTTTCGAGCCGTTTACGTTCTGTCTTCGTTCGAGGGAACCAAGGCGACGTTAATCCCACGCTGGAAACGTAATTTTGCGCGGGCGAGGACGCGAATTACGCGAGCTCGTTTTTCTGTAAGCTAGCTTAACGACTTACGCGTGGCGCGACGTCATGTGGTAGCGACGTTTCATCACTCGCCAGATTTCCCAGCAGATCGCCGTGTAACAGAACGCCATGATGATCAGAGGCAGAATGAGGACGACGATCAGCATGTAGACCTCGTGCGCGAGCCAAAGAAGACCGGCGTCGGAGTCCCGGACGCACCAATAGGCGATCAACCTCCTCCCGACCACCTTGTGCGTCTGAAAACAGCGAGAGATCATCCGGTGAACCTGTTCGAAACAGCGTCACCTCGCTATCGCCGACTGTCCACGGGAAGACTGGGATCGTCAACCAAGTCGTCGAAGAAACTTCCATTGGAGGACGCGAGTAATTAATGTGACCAATTAAAAACGAAACTCGAGTCGTACACTCGGCTCCGAGGTACTTCACATCGTTTCCCAGTTTTTATCGTCCTCCACGGGAAATTAACTTCGGGGTCCAGTAACGTGCGACGAGATCCCCGGAAAAATACACTTCGGATCAACGATGAGCAATCTTCTCCTAAGCTGGGGCGAAATTAAATATCAACTGTAATCGCGGCGCGTCAATAAACCTAATTCCTTTCGTTTAAAAGTAGAAACTGTTGTTTCTACGCTACAGAATTGAAACGCTGTCTTCGACTAAGCAGAGGAAGTTCAAAGAAATGAAAATTCATAGAATAATTCGCGAAAGACAGTCGAGCGGAAAGTCTGTTGTTGATGAAATAAATAGAACCCAAGACGGTAAGTAAACGAAATAGCTCGCCACAGAATCCGGAATCGCGATGGAAGGTAAATCATAAGGAATCAAACCGCCGCGGCGCGTCAGCCGGAGGATCTACAGACTCGGCGGTAAAGGATTTACGATTCGACGAGGAGTGGTTTATTAAAAGCCTCGAAATCCGCGTACTCACGGGCACGCGATTCACTACGGTCGTATAAGAGCGTTTTACCGCCGCGTACGCAGCATTTACTTTACGCGGGACGGAGTAAAACCGAGGTTCCCGCTTGTTTCATTAATTCTTTACCGTCCGCCGTGCAGCTATCTCTTTTCCACGGGAATGAAACTTATTATTCGCGTTGCTGCCGAGCCAGCCAGCCAGCCCGATTTGAAATTACGTTTCCGTTTCCGGGGATCTCGGTGGGTCCTGCGTCGAATTCCGGACGCCGCGGCGCGTCCTGTCGCCCCGGACAGCGCGCACGAAAACAATCCAACGAGAACGACGGGGCGACCTGCCGCGTCCAGAAACTAGATGCAACTCGGCCGAACGGCCAAGCTTAATTATCCGATGCGAACGTAAAACTTCTTGCGCACGAGGAGAATGTGTAACGCGCGTGAAATGAAATGAAATGAAATGAAATGAAATGAAATGCGCGAGAATCGTGCTCGGAATCTTATCTAGGAGTATACATTCGAAATAAAATGATTGCAGCGGTGCTGCATAATGGAAAAAGTTTCTCTGTCCGCGTTGAGCACGAATGCCAGGAGTGTAACAATGGCCGACGGCGGGGAACATGCCGAGAGGCCGCAGAAATGATCGCGATTCGATGGAATGGCCGCTCACCTGTGTGAAAATCATCGGAATACCGAGCAGAAACGACACCACCCATGTTATAATCACGATCTTACGGGCCTGGCTTATCGTGCACGTGTACTGCGCTCTCATTGGATGCACTATTGCATAATATCTGAAACACGAACGGAATTTCCAATTAGTTCTCGACTTTCCAATAAGCCGCGAGCTACGAAGTGTCAGTCGCTCGAAACTTCTAACGTTATCCATGCGTAAGAGACCGTTCATCTTTGTTACCTGTTACGCAACTTCCGCGTTTAATCGAAATCTCTTTTTCTTTTTTTTCTTTTTTTTCTTTTTTTTCTTTTTTCTCCGTTTCTTTCGGAACTGAGGGAAGGGGCACCGGCACGTGAAAATTGCGCGACGATTGCCGGCGAGCGGATTAAAAGTTCGCGCGAGGCAAATCCCTCGAGCCCGGGGCACTCGGTTCGAGCGGAGCGATCCCGAATCCCTAAGATTATAAAACGGCCGCGCCAAGAGACGAGAAATAGAAAAAAACGGGGGAATATATTGAGAGGAGACGATGAAACGGTGTAATGGCGCGAAAATTCTTGCGAACGGTTCGCTTTACGGCCGCGGTCATTTCCGGGGCCGTTCCGTTCTCTCTCGCCTCTCGCCGGTTCTCCAAGCCTTCGCAATTAAGCGGAGAAGCGGGAAAAAAACCGTGGCGCCAATTATCCGGATCGCTTTCGGTTCGAAGCGGCTGCGAATGCAAAGTTTTCTCTGATTTTCCATCGATCAGATTATCCGTTGATCTCGCAACGAAAAGTAATCAAAGAATTCTGTTGAAACTCTCATTTGATTTTATTTTCGAACCGATTCCGTTAAACGCGGCGTACGTTGCAATATGATTTGACGAGTTGACCGGCTCTCGAAAGAGATCTGGATTGCCGCGGCGAAATAAGAACTTTGATAGGCTCTCTTTATTGGATCGGACAATGGAACAATAGCTCGCTCAACTTTCGCAACAATCGTTCGAGGCAAGGGTTGGATCGTTAAGGAATTGAATCTAAAGTTAGCTTATACCTGTAATTCGTTTATCTGGGATGAAAGAAGTTCGGAAAGTAAATAATTCCGGATCTCGTTCGTGTCTCTGCTGAAAACAGCGCGTGGAGTCTGCCGGCGAATGCAGTTTTGATGAACGCGCTACGTCAAACGGTACGTCTTGGCATCGAAACTATGCCAGATTTTCTGCTCCGCTGCTTTTTATCGAAGCCCGCGGTACCTTGGAAACATTTCCATGCTTTCAAAGAGGATTGTACGTCCGAAGAGCTTCTAGAAATTGATCGCAGTGATTCGTGCAGCCGTATCGCGCGGCGCCTGATCGGCAAACATGACGAACCGAGCGTGTCGGTCCTCGGGATCCGAGTTCTTTTGAATTTCCGACGAACGAAATTGTTCAATGACGAAAGGATCGCGAAAACCAAGCGAGTGGCTGGCGAGATTTACGCGTTTCGTTTCGCGTGCCCGCTGCCGACTGATATACAATAGGAAACGGCGAAGGGGATGTGCAATCGATTCAACCAGCCGGAAAAGGTAGCCCGATGATAAGGCGCGGTTCAATTTCCTCCGAAATCAAATAAATTTTAAGCATGGTCGCACGCCGGGGAAAAGTCTCAGGCGTGCGTCCAGGGGGCCTATTTTATCGGTTCTCTATTAAAGCGAAACGTGAGCGGCAAGAACAACGGCGGAATCTCACGAGAGAAATCGTAAATCGGTCGCTGCTGATGGGTAACCGCTTCTTGGAAACGTTTTAGAATGGTTTAAATATTCTGCTACTAGAATATGAAAATATTCGAGACGCGAAAAGTTTCAATGTTGAACCGTTCAAGGTTTGAAACCTTCGAGTATTCGAATATTCAAATTCGAGTTTCAGTTTTGAAAGGCGCGTTAATGCGAACGACCTAACGGCACGATAGCAAAACGCGAGCGCGGACACGAGGAATGGCAAGAGGATTCTACGGAACGGCCGGTTATGTAAAAATCCTGTCGGCTGACCCTTGAAGGGTTGATCGAGGGGCTGCTAGAAGAATCCGGTTGCTCCCGCAATCCTATCCGAAATGGAGGAAACGATTCGCAGCCCTTCGCGTGCCATCAGTCTTCGAAGGGTGCCGAAAAACACAGGCGAACGTTATTTGCTGGAATTGCGCCAGGAGACCTAAGCTTCGAGATGAATTCGCGCGAGCCCTTTTTCGAGGGCCCGGACGCTCTCTTCTAGGGAAATTGAACCGGGGCTACTTCGAGAGCTTCGAGAGAATCGTGCAATGATCTTTATGCTGATTACGTTTCACTAACGTCGCCGAATTCGAGGGTCAGCGACGGGGAAAGCTAATTTCGAGTCGCGCTGGATTACTTTCATCGATTTCGTCGGAAGGAAACACGTTTTAAACTGAATTAGGAGGCTGCCTGCCGGGTACAGGAGAAAAAGCCAGAAACTTCGAAGAAACATATTTCGATCCACCGAAAAGGGAGCACCTTGAATTCGCAGGATCCGAGCAGCCTTTCGTTCCAACTCCCGAATAACGAAGTCAGCGGTGCAAATCCGACAGAAGTACATTCTCACAGCGGTACGTGAAGTTTGGAAGTCTTCTATCCTCTACAGATGTCGAAGGAAAGAGAAACCGTGGAAAACACTGAAAAATAGGTTTCCGATCGTTCGAACGATTCATACCGACGGTGTTAATTCGGATCAATTTTACGCTAACCATTTTAGAATATATTTCACGTTGGACCAATGCATCCCGACAGGACCGAAGGGGTTGATCCATAATGTCTCCGGCGCGAAAGCAACTGTTCCTCGTTTATCAAACGACACCGCCGGGACCGAGCGACATTTTGAAGACAGCTGCTCGATCATCGTCAAATCGGAATTCCTTCCGTCGCGCTGCGATAGGCAGACCACGCGCGCGGCACCGGGTTATCGGGGAAAAAAGGGACGCGCGTTGCCTGCGAGATTTATAATCCCCGGTGGCCCATTAATCCCGAACGAAAACGGAGAACAGCCGGAATATTACCGAGCGGATACGGGCCGCGCCGGGATAAAATTGCATCGCGATCTAAGAACTAATGGGGGCGACGCTTGACGAAGCGAGCCCTTCCGCGGCGGGCGTGACCGCGAACAGCTTTCAGCGGGCCGGTGCGCGGTGCTATAAATAACTTGAATTCCGGGCAACTCGTTCGGCCGCGCCAATTAAGCGAAATTACGCGCGGCCGCGGAGCTGCCGTTCCGCAGTTCCTTAGCGCGCCCGTTCCTCCGGGAACGTGATCGAGATCGTGCCCGTCTTCCCCGGTGCGGACTAAATTGAAACATTAAAACGTCGAAGCCATTTGCATCGGGGAAATACGACCGTGAACCTCGCCGGGCTCCGTGTTTCCAAACATCTGCTGTTTCCACGTCGAACTTCGACGCGTTCGAAGTCGCTGCCACTGCGAATCGGGGTAATTCGAGACAACTGCGCCGAGGGCTTTCATCGGTGCACCGGATTATCGGACTGTCTGATTTAATCGGCCGAGCGACGGTTCGGGCCAATGGAACAGACATTATTCGGGGGATGTTCGAGGTGTGCCGTTCCGGAAATCGGAATTACCGTGTTCGAGGATACCGAGGATCTTTCTCGAGATTCGAAATTGTGCGTTACACGTTTAAATCCTACGAAGAAAGCACCGAACCAGTCTTTCGTTGTTTAATTAATGAAGTTACTTGTACAAAGTTTTGGATTTGAATTGGCTCTTGGAAGAGTTAACGGAGGTGCTGCAGTAAGTTTAATCGGATTTAACTGCAAGTTAAAGAAGTAACTCGATGATTAGTACGCCGGGTTTACCTTTCCACGGACATCGCGGTCAGCGTGATGACAGAGCAAATAGCGGACACGCTCTGCATATAATGCACCGACTTGCAGAGAAACAGCCCCATGGTCCATGTGTAGGAGAACAGCTTGGCGACCTGTAACATATCGAAACGATCGAAATTCAGTTAGCTCGATCCGATCGATCCCCCGGGAGAAGAAAGAACTTTCTCCGGTAAAAGTGAAAATTCGATTAGCGTCCCCACTCGGACGCTTCATCCGAGATTAATTCATTTCCTCCGAGGTGGCATTCGAGGCAGGTCCCCAAACAATGCCGCTGGAGAGAACAAAAATCAGAATGGCGCGGTGAAGACCGCGTGAAAATGGATGAAAGGAGAAAAATGAATCGCCCGGACGAAGGAGATAGAGGAGAACGTTCGGGCTGGGAACTGGACGTGTTTCATCGAGTCCTTTTCCGAGGGAAATGAAGAGAAAAGGCTCGTTATTGAAATATGCTCTTTGAATTCGTTAACGAGGCAGAAACGCCGAGGAATCGCCGCGCTTCGAACCGCGGAGAGTCTGCCGCGCCGTTGTTCACGTCGCGGATAAATTAAAGCGTTTAAATTACGCCGGGCACTCCAAGAAACGAACGTTTAATGAAAATTTCCATGTCATTTGCCGCGCGGACGGTTCCCCGGGTTTATGAGTCCGCAGATTGTCTACGATCGATCGAGTATAAATTAACCACGACGATTCCAACTTAGGTTCGCAATAACGTTGGGGGAAACCTACGTACTATTTGCCAAAGGACGCTACGCCTTGTAATTCCCGTTTGAGAGAAAAGCATCACCGAAGGAATACAAATTCCACATTGAGATAAGATTGAAACCTCGTTAATTATTCCTATAGCAAACGCGATGTAAAATTAATGAAAGAAACGTTGGATAATCATGATACTGTAGTTGAAATGCGAAGGTTTGATCGAGAAACTGATTATTTCTTTGACAGCAATAAAATCGCAGTAACGTGGGAAGATAAATGAAATTTCGAAGGAAAACGTCAGAGTGATTATAATTTAAGGGTCGAACGGAAGAGATCAAAGGGCTCGAAGCTGCCGAGCTTCGAGAAAAATGTCTGTCAAGAGCCCCGCAGCTTTCCCGAAGAAAGCTGAAAGAAACGAAGACGAGCGTTGGCTGGGAAAGTTGTTTTTCTGTCGGAGCGCGGCAGAGCCGGGGAATTAAGCGAGCGATCCTGTCTTCTAATTCGGTCCGACGCGGGTCCGCGGGAAGCCGTCGCGGCAGCCGTCGCGCGGATAAGGAATCCCGATTGCTCGAGTTACGTTCGTTTACCGAAATGGCCGGAATTAACGAGTTTAACGACCGCGAAATTCGAAATTCGAAATCCGGCTATTCGAAGCGTACCAGCTGCGCGGAACCGCTGGGAAATCTCACGGAGGGAGTCGAACGGGACCCGACGAGAGAAACTACGAGGGAGCACCGGTTGAATGCCGCGGAACGAGCGAACGTCTCGAGTCATCCCCGCGAGCAGAGGCAAACGAAACCGGATGAGCGTGAATTCAGTCGAAGCAATCAGCTCGTGTAAATAGCGAAGGTGCTTTCGATTCGAATGAGCCGACGACAACGGCGGAGGAGACGAATCAGGATAGACCGAAGGAATTTTTCAATGGAGTCATCCGGCTACTGATAGAAAACCTTCCGGTGGATGTGCTCGGGGTTCTAGAGCGAGGAGATTCGAATTTCCGCTGAAAGAAATGGTAATCAACTGCCGGTGATGGTACAAGGGACAGAAAGGAGCTTGATTTCTACGATATAACCGATCACAACGATTTACAGCGATTGCCGTGTGTCGCTTTTTACTCTGTTCAGGACTCTCAGTAGCACTGGTCAACGATAAGTCCGAAAACTCGGGGAATACCGTTCCTTTCGCTCGGACGGAATGGTACTTGGAAGCGTAGTAATTATAATATAATGAACGATATTGCCGGCACAAAGAGAACGTTGCGTTACCGAGCAGGAACGAGAAGACACCGACCGTTGAGTCGTTGAATGTACACATTAGCGGAGAAGAGAGCAATTTCGGTGGACACGGGACAAGAGTTTAATTACTCGAAAGGGTAGAAAGGAAAAGCAGTTTCTGCACCCACGGTGCTCGACACTTTTAATTAACTGAAAGTGAACATTTCCGCGCGGATTTAATTACGCCGCGAACCCCCGGGGCCGAACATTTTGATCGGGGCGCTAGAGTGTTCGAGCGCCTTGTAAATCGACCGAAACGCGCGCGAATAATTTTGTTAGCCGACATGAGACGGCTGCGGGTATGCCTTCGCAAGCTTTCGCAAGCTTTCGCCGGCTTTCACGGCAACTTACGAGGTATGCCTCGGCAGTTACGGAAGTTCAATGAATTATTATCGCACACGCAGCCGACTTAACGAGACCCGATACAATTCGGCAAATACGATTGGGAATCCTTGGAAAATCGAATACTGCCTCGATTTAGCGTAGGTTTTGACGATAATTAACGATACTTGGCAATTTGAACGCGATCGAAAGAATAATTTCACCGCCAATTAAGAGCTCGACTGGAACGGTTAAAAATATTTGGCAATTTGAATTCCGCGAGGGAAATAATGATAAAAAATTTGAAATACTCTCGAGATAAATATCCAACAGGAGTTAATACCTTTGTGGAATTCTTTCGGGGCGCATTATTGCTGGTTTTAAGTGTAACACGCTGGAGTGAGAGGCGAAGAATCGGGTCAGGATTATCGGATTAATAGCGTCGGAAGCGTGTCCTGTTCGTGTAAGGACACTGATTGAAATTACTGCCATTAGCGTAAAGTTTAATCGATTAAGGTAATTGAATGCAGCCCAGGCGCAATGTAATACGATTACCCGGACGGCTAGAAGACTCCTAGGCGATCATCGCGGCCGAGATTCGTTTCGGAGCTTCGATCCGGGGGAAGAAAACAACTTTAATGAACCTGATTCGATCGAATCCCTAAAATCGCTGAATAATCGAGAGCCGGCTTCGCCGAATAAAATCTCGTCGACTCGTGACGTTCGACGTACGACGAAGGGTATAATTATACGATTCTAAGATCGTGTTTTCCATTTTTTACAATATCCGCGAGCCGAGTTCGCTGTCGATTGCACGCGTCCAGCTAAACGGGGCAATTTTTCACAATGAAATCCCAGCGTGCAACGAGTAATACACCGACTGACGTTTAATTTCAGTCACGAACTTGTCCCTGATAATCGAACGGTTAAGAAGAAATGCCCGTTTGAAACGATCCCGGCACGCCGCCCCGTACCATAAACCGTAATTGCCGGGCAGCTCTATGCTTGACCGACTAGCGCTCGGGTAATTAGTTCATTATCCGTGTTAGCGATCGGGCTAATACTCGAGGGATACGTGATGTAACATTCTGATTACTCTGATTTGTGATTGGACCGCGAAGACCGATCTCGCGAGTGTTTTCGAGTATTTAATTAGCGGCTCTTCTAAACTGGACTACCGTTGAATAATCGTTTCTTCAATTTAGCGAACAGATTCGTTACTGTGCGTTTATCATAGAAATAACTGTCGATATTCTTGTGGAAAAAACGTGTAGCCCTAGTAATTGCCGTTGCGTGTATCAAATGCGAGAAGTCTGTCGAGCGATCGCTATGAAAAAGCTCCACCATTCAATTTCCGACTTGTCATTAGTCTCGCGCGGAAATAATCTTGATGCCGACAATGACAGAAACACGCAAGAAAGATGAAAAACGAAGGAGATCCGTTGGGATCGTTCCAGAGCGCGGAAGATCCAGAGGTAAAGGGAGAAAGGGTGTCGAAGGGCGTAGGAGCGTGGGACAAGCGTAATCTCTTTAACCCGGGGCTCGCCGTAATGAAGTTAAACCGTCATTTATTATCGTGCGTTGTTATCCCGTCCCGCGTTGTTGCTGTCCCGTCATCATCGCATTACGCGACAGCGGCAGGCCTTCCTCGATACACCGCAAAGATCGATATTTCCCGTGACGATACTGTGTTTTCGGCATTGCGACGCGATGGCCGATCATTATTACGCAACGTGTCGACCGACGCAAGACGCGTCACCCGAGATCCCTCGCGGCGAAACGAGAATCGCCCTCAGGCGCATTAGAAAGACCGCTGAATTTGGCGAGGGGACAGAGATTAGCCGAGCGAAACTGGAGAGTTTTCCGGGAACGAGCAGCCTCGCCGGGAGAGCGCGATATTGCAATGGGATAATTAGCATACAACGCGGTTCGTTCGGCCGCTATTGCGTCGCGTTACGGTTTAATTAAGCGACACCTCGGCTATCAAGGGGCCGGCGAGTAATTTTAACGGTCAATCACCTGTACGACTCTCGACGGATAATTATAGATCTCATCGGTTACTAATCGGTCGTCCTTGGACCAACGATTCGCTACAAAGCGAACAAAAATACAATAAAATTTCGAGCTTGGAGCATAAGGAGTAAGTTAGAAAAACGTCAGGGAAATAATTGTCTCGGGGAATTGCTCATGTACGATGCAGATTCCAGGTAAGGTCTACTTCCAAGCAGGCTCTGAGTCATTTTGGGCCCACAAAAGTTTCCTAGTTATTTGTTCGGTGCGGCGGCGGCGATCGACGGGAACTATAGCGAGGAATCAATTTACGTTGCCAACAACCATCCCAAGCACCGGACGAAGTTACAACAAGGTTTAGCCGATAGTCCAGCCACCGCGAATCCACAAGTACCCCTTTCCAATCTGGCCAACACGCTAATTATTAACTAAATCACTCGGCCATGAAATGCAGCTAATTGAAAGTCTCAACTTCAATGTGCCGCCGCGATCTCGCCGGCGGACGTTTAACGCGACTATCGTTGCACGTCCGACACCCAAAATTCCGATAGCACACCGAAGTTGTATTCCGTTATCGATTTCGAACCACGGTGGACAGTGAGCGGAACGTTTTCCTCGAATAGCGTCTCTCGCTTTCCGCTTGATCGTCCGGGTACAGCGTTGGGAATTCTCATCGGGAATTTCTGTTTTCTTCAGGACCTTTCCGTTCTCCCCGAGTGAATGATAAATACCGACAACTTCTGTCCCTTCAAGAATACCGGAAATATTCGAAATTTATCGTCTCGAGAATA